ACCCCCAACTATGCTAAAATGTGCTATATTGTTCGTGCTCCAAGTCGGGGCGAGGTCGTAGCCCTACGGGCTAGAGTTAATAAGTGCTTCGAGTAAGTAAGTAAGTAAAAGGATATATTGGTACCCAAACCACCATGCAAGGCATCGCGTACCGGCCGCATATAATCACATATTGTTTCACGCACAGTGGGCTAGAGATAGCTTCAAGTTTTTCTAAGAAACGACTGGATCGAATAAGTTGAAAATTGGACTTTCGACAAAGCATTTAACGGTTTTGTGTATCGTGAGGTGTACGTAGTATATGTGAATGCCAATTTCGAGTCGTATACGTGAAATATTTCCAAACAACAGGTGGGGTGGGGGCCTGGATGGAGCTCGGAGACGCGCTAAGACTCATGGACGGGTGGTTAATCTTGACAACAGTCGTGGTATGACTGGTAGGACGAGAAGAGATCCCTCGAGCCATGGAAGAAGCGGTACGTGGGGACGTATGGAAATGTATGCATGCATAAGAATGCAGCCCCTTGTGCCTGGCCTGGGATGGAAGGTGGCACTCAAGGTGATATGGATAGGCCAAACGCACAGTGTAAGCTTGATCGATTGTTCCCAATCAACCCTCGTATGGCTCTGGATATGTCTATGCTTCGTGACTCTGCTCCTGAGTCTTTCCCCGCGTGTCCCTGACGGCTCTGATACACAGTCACTGGAATATAAATTTCTCCTAATGCTCGCCTACCATCCCCTCGATACTTCCGAAAACACTGTGGGGCAAAAAGAATGTCTCCACTCTCGGTCAGACTGAGGACCTCATTACCAGAGATGCTCTATGCCACTAAGCCGAAAGGATCTATGCTAGAGTGGGTAAGACTGTCTATGTAGAATTTGGTGGATGGGCTTGGACAATGCATGGTATTTGGGTCTGTTCGTGACTCTAATCATGAGAAATAGTTGGTTGGTGTTCAGCATTGTATGAACCTCTGAAAAATGGAACGCTTTTAAGTTTGGTATGAGAGGGGACGAACTAGTTTCGGTGTTTAGCACGAATTAAATTTCTGATTAAGCCTGTGACTTGGCCCCTGTGTGCTGGGCCGTGGGTACATTTTTATATATACATGAGCGAATCCAAGAGAGAGCGAGAGACACTGATAGGGGGGCTCAGATGGACCTTCAGCTAGTCTCCCCATGAGCGGGCTGTTGCAACAGGGGGCTCTCAAGGCTTCCACGGCACCCCCAGCCGCGGGGAGGTAAGGGCGGGCCGGAGGCGACCAACCGCGGGTATGGATTGTAAGTGGGCGGCCCAAACGAGGCTCTGAGTCTCACAGAGTGGTAGGTGGTGCAAAAAGATGAGCACATAAGCGTGGAATAATATTAAGGATGTGTAAGAAGAGGCGAAGCAAGGAGAGAGGTGATAAACGATGACAAACAGAAATCACGCGCCACGCGTGAGGCTGATCGCTCCATCGGCTCCGACGAACAGTACCCAATCCGATGTATTATGTGATTGGACGCCTCAACATCTCATCGCGGTTCTCCGCAGGCTTCCAGCCAGCTATTACCCAACAAGCTCTAGCCCGTTCGAGAGCGGCCCGCCTCCTAGCTCTTCAACAACGCTTGCGATGACCCCAAAAATTACCGATCAGCAAACTGGTCCGAATACTATCGACGTGGCGCACACACTTCCGTCGCCTGCAGCCGCCGATACCAGTGACTACGCTATCGATGAGTCGAGTGAATCGTTGCGGGGGCTCAGCCTTCAGATTCATGGTAGGATGCCTTCTTCTCTAAGTTCATTTATAACAGACATTCGTTGACATTGTAGACCGACCGGAGTTAAACTGGAATGAGAAGTAAGATCTCTAATACTGATAATATGATAGTTGATCTTCTATTACCGTATCAAGATACGCCCACGACGTATTAACACAATTTGTCGAAAACCAAGGCTTCCAAGTCACTCGCCATTACCTCGCCGACCAGTTCCCAGGTGACACTGCTTGGAAAGCCGAGTTTGTGATACCTGATAAATCTGGGAAATCCCTCCCCGTGATTGGGTTCAACTCCGAGATGGATGCACTTCCTGGTATTGGACATGCGTGTGGGCATAATCTTATCGCAATGGTTGGTGTCGCCGCCGCCCTAGGGCTGAAAAGTGCGATGGAAAAACACAATATTCCTGGAAAGATAATACTCTTGGGAACCCCCGGTGCGTGGTGCTACCAACCTAGAGATATGACCTGGTCTGACATGTGACATAGCCGAGGAAGGGGGAGAGGGCAAAGTACATCTGCTGAAAGCGGGCGCATATAAAGAGATGGATATCTGTTTAATGTAACACTCAGTGCCGTGATTTGCCCTAAACGTGCCAAGTCTAACGATCTCGAACTCAGGGCGCATCCTGGTCCAGGAAATAGTCATCTTGTGGAGAGCGTGACGACCCTGGCACTTCAGTCATTCAAGGTGGAATATCATGGACAAGGGTACGCATAAGTCAAGTTATGAAGTTTCACAATTAACCATTAGCGCTTAGTGCACATGCTGGGGCTGCCCCGTGGGAAGGCAAGAACGCACTAGATGCCGTGTTTGTTGCGTACGCGGCAATCAGTGCTCTGCGCCAGCAGATACATCCCACTGCTCGGGTCCATGGGATCATTGAAGGGCGTGATTGGGCATCAAACGGTGAGTCAATCCCCATGAGCATTCACTCACGTATTCAAACCCACTCACACATTTGCTAGTCATCCCCAACTATGCGAAAATGTGCTACACTGTTCGTGCTCCAACCTGGAGCGAGGTGGTAGCTCTACGAGAGAGAGTCAACAAATGCTTTGAGTAAGTTCATTATCTCAATCACCGAATAAGACCCTGAGATATTTCGTGCAGGGCCGGGGCTCATGCAACCTCGTGCGTAATGACCGTTACCGAGACAGAGGGCCTAAAAGATATTCGGATAGATGAAGTATTGTCAAGTGAACTGGGTGCAATTATGACCAACAGATACAGCTGCCCGTTTAAGCATGGAGGTGTATTTACTGCATCTACAGACTTTGTAAGTCAGGTATGTTTCGGCATCATGACCCTGCTAATCAAAATTATCAGGGGGATATAACGTATGGTAAGGATGAATACATTTCCAGCTCATGAGGTATTAACCATTGTGCGTATAGCATTACCAGCTCTGCACCCAATGTTTGGTAAGTTCATCTTCTTTTTGTAGCACCAACTAATGTGCTAAAAACCAATAAGCACTGTCTACAGTGCCAAATGGTGGAAACCACACCCCCGAATTTACGGCAGCAGCCCGGACACAAGATGCACATGATCGTGCGATTGTAGTGTCCAAGGGCCTGGCAACGTTGGGCCTTCGTGCTCTCCTGGATGAGGGGTTCCTATTAACAGTAAGTATTACTCGGTATGAAGTGGGGTTGCACTAAACAATCCATAGGTCAAGAATAATTTTGAGAAGCACCAGCTTGCCTAATTGGGGCAATAATAGTACAAGGGGCGATATAAAAAGTCTAAACTTGGATGTATGCGTGTACTGAAGCCAGTGCAACGTAATACGTATCCGCATGCCTCATAAACGTAGACCCTATATCAGTTTAACGACTATAATTAAGTAGGGAAGGAAACGGGCCTGCGCAGGTCCAAATGTTCCAACCTACAGTATATCTCCATGAAAGAAACCATACGTGCTCCACTGTAGGTGCATGGAAGGTGCCTGCGTGCATAACAAGGCAGATCGCTTGTGCTTGAATCAGGATGGAGGGCGACAATAAAGAGGATAAAGGCGCATCGGTGGATCGAACACGCGGGATAAGTATGAGCGATAGTGAACGATTGACCCGTACACAGCTCTAAACTTACTCTCCATTTGCAACCCTCCGTGGGTATGACTCTGGGTAGTTATTGAGTCTCAAAGGTTGTTGAGTGGGTTAAAAATACGAGTGCGTAAGAGATAATGTTAAAGGTGCGAAGAGAGGAATAGTACAGTCGAGAGGGGCGGTAAACAACGACAAGGAGAAATCACGCCATGTCCGCGGCTAATTATAACTGGCTATACTACTCCATCGGCTCCGACGAACAACATCCGATCCAATGTATTATGCAATCGGATGTTTCAACATTTCTTCTTGGTTCCCCACAGGCTTCCAGCCGGCTACCACTTGATAAGCCCCGGTCCATCCAAGAGTGGCCCCAACCCTTAGCTCTTGAACAACAGGTGGCTCTAGAAACCACTAAAACAACGTCCACTAGTGC